TCTTCCTTGACCATGTGCAACCTTCTAATACCTCTCTTTCCTCTTCTCTTTATTACCAAGATTCCAGCAGGAGGGAGTCCTACTCCCTGCCTGTTAATTTCTGAAGATACTTCAGTTTGGCTTGTGACCAGTATCTGATCCATTTGCTACCAATGCATACTGAATTGACACACCCAGTGACTTGTTTTCAGCCTTCATCCTACTTTATATATTTACAGTATTTGACACCATCCTCTTGAATTTTTCCTTACTTCCTAGTTGAGTGAGGTAGTAGAAGTCCGGTAATGCCTACAGTGGTCTCCAACAACAGCAAAAATCTTCTGTGTCCTATATAATTTTCCAATGTATCACAGTCATTTGTATGGGCAAAAACGAAATTTATTTACTAAGCGTCACTGGATTTTAATATAACAGATATTCACTTTTGCACATTTTAACTTTCGTGAAAATATCCAGGAATTTAGCTGCCATGTAAACTGAGAGATAATGAACTAGTCCAGTTTGGACCTTCATTAACAGGTGTTTGCTATTTCAGGAAATTACATCTTCAATGATATCGGGTCTTGTAGTACGTGTGTACTGTGCATATACATGCACATATACATGCTCTGCCAGTCTATGAGCACTATGAGTCTATCTCACAGTCCTGAGATTTCTAGGTATGTTAATATATGCATGTATATATGTATCTACCTGCATATATGTATGTATACACATAAAAACCTATATAAGCACATACATATATATTCAACCCTTATGTTAAGATGAAAATATAAAATAAACCAATAATGTTCAGTTTAATGTTTAATTTATTGCTCAAATATGAACTTCCTCATTATAACTATGTACAAGCATCTGCTAACTCCATTATATCATTTAATGTAGACCTATCTGAAACATTTACATATTCAACTAGGTATTTTATGAACATTTATTTCTTCTTTATATTAAGGGTGGACATTATATTTTATATTTGTGAAATTATATGTATAAGAAGGCTATACTATCTATGACTCCTATTTAACAATAGTAAAAGGGGGCATTATAAAATATTTCTTATATTGGTTCTGATAAGACTGGGAACCGACGCTTTATAGCTCCATGCTTCTAGTGGGCTTCCTCTGTAACTGGCTTGGCTTTCCTAAACTCTCTACCTGAAAAACTTCTACTGGCAATCAGGAACCCTTCCTTCCATGCTCATATGTCCTCCTGTACCTAACATTATGAAAGCATTTATCAGATAGTACTCCAGCTGCTTATCCACTGCTCTCCTAGACTTCTTCTAGACTGCAAGCTCCCAGACAATGGGATCTTGTCTTACTGGTTTTGTTTTGTTTTGTTTTGTTTGTGTAAATACAGGATCTAGCCTGTTGGCACATAGTTTGTTCTTAATAAATGCTTATAGAATGAATGAATCCACCTGAGTGGAGGCTACCATAACACTTTCTGGGAATGGCAAAATGAATTAAGTCAATTCTCATTCAAATTTGTCAAAAAAAAAACTACATGAAATTCTAACTGGTAAAGCAGATAAAATCAAGCCAATCCTTTTTAGTGGAGGTGGATAGCTCTGAGTCTTATCAGTCTGTCTTGATGTCAACTCTTGAGGGCCTCTGAACTCAGTCCAACTCTCTCAGGCACCTCAGTGATACTCCAGTTTGAAAAACATTGCACTGGATAATTCTCATCAGAGTGACCTCTAGCCTAATGATTTTAGGATTTGTCACTTAATTTGGGGTTAAAAATCCCCAAAAGTCTTTTTTATTCTATACTCATATGATGAAATGTCCAAAAATAGTTCCTTTGAATATAAGAGCTATTTTCTCTGGAAGCATTTTTCTTTTTCTTCTTCTTCTTCTTCTTCTTCTTCTTCTTCTTCTTCTTTGCAAGAAACAAAATGCATGCTGTATACTTTTAATACTATTATTACATGACATTATACACTTTTGGAAAAGTATTATTCTGAAATATCATTATGTACTGAAAAGCCTGATTGAGAGTTTCATTACAATTATATACTATAGTTTGTATATAAAAGAAGTATCTTCTTTATTACTCTTGAGAAATGTACGAAGTAGTCCAATCCATCACAGGTATTATTGTTACCTCTCATAGCTGACTCAGCCCAATAGCTGATACCCTTAATCCCCTTCCAGACCCATCCCTGTACTTGCTACCTTTGATGCCCACATACTTTCCTCACAATATGCCTCATGTTCCTGTGCTTTGCAATCCAGTAACTGTCCTCAAAATATTTTCTTTCTGTCTCCCATTTCTTCATGTTTCCTACATGCAACTAGCTAATCTAATACTATTATATGATCATAGATAATAAATATTTGTTGAATAAATGCCTTATTAAAGTATTTGCAAATTACTGTGGTAATGTGTAAGTAAAATGTAAGGAAGACTTCATTAAGAAACACAGACTTTAATCCAAAGGGATGGGAAGAGGAGGAGTAACCTTTGGCAAGCACATATTATGTACCTAGTACTGGGTTAGTCTATTCATATATGCTGTTTTTGTTTTTTTTATTAAAAAACTTTTTAACATTTATTCATTTTCTTTTGAGAGACAGAGAGAGACAGTATGAGTGGGGAAAGGCCAGAGAGAGAGGGAGACATAGAATTCAAAGCAGGCTCCAGGCTCTGAGCTGTCAGTACAGAGCCTGATGTGGGGCTCAACCCCATTAACAGTGATATCATGACCTGAGCCAAAGTCAGACACTTAATGGACTGAGCCACCTAGGCGCCTCATATGCTGCTTTGCTGCTTTATTTTTAAAAAATCACAAGAGCCTACCTTTCACCATTTTACAGAAAAATAAATGAAATCTTAATAAACTAAGTATCTTGCCAAAATATAGCAAGTAAGTGGCACAGACGAAAACCAAACCCAGGTCTGTCTAAGTCCAAAGTCAGAGCTCTTCACCTATCAGATCACATCTTAAAAAAATGAGAGGCAGCTTTGGGAACATGGGGGAAGCCATGACAGTACACAGGAGTGGAGAACTGGCATTGCTTTCTTTAGGCAAACGTCACTTTTTCCTTGATGATATATGGGAAATGTGGTCCGGAGACGATTTTTTTCCAGAGACTATTTCATCCTCTACTAATGTGAATCACATACATTTTCTCCTGTTTCAGCTCTCTTAAACTCTTGCTTAAAATAGTGATTATCTAAATTGCATAGGTTAACTTTATTATTTTCAAGTGATATAGTAATGGGATTAACCAAGTCAAATGCTGCATCCTAGAAATTCTACCTTCATGGTCATAATCAGCATATCCAAATACTCACTGGTTTGATTATTATGGATTAAATCTCATCAGTAAAGCAACTACTCTTAACAATCCTATTTACTTATTTATTTGTTCATCCATTCTTCTATTTCACCAAGTTGAAATTTCATTTGCTGTTGGTGTACATATTTTAAAGTTTGGAAGAGTGAGACTTTATTCTATTGTTTACCAATAAGAACATATTTGGTTTAAGTACATGGCTCACCCATTGTAAGAAACTCATAAAGATAAATATCTATAAAGAAGTATTTCACTTGCTTCCCTCTTACTTAACAACCAAAGTTAGGAGTATCTGACATGAAAAATTCAACTGGTTTAAGAGCAGCTAACTTTTTTTGAGTATATTTCTAAGAGTTTCACATGCATTATCTCCCTAGATCCTCAAATTAAAAATAAATAAATAAAACAATGTAAGGGGGCATAATATCATCCTTACAGAGGAGGAGAGTCAGGCTTGAGGCTTTGTGTGAGGTGTGTAGAACCAGGAAGGATATATTGCTCCATTGCCCTGCTCTTAACTGCTCAGAGTTTGACAGGCAGGGTCTGTAGGACAGAATTTACTTCTAAAGCAATTGTTCCTCTTGGCAGAGGAGGATTCCTTAATCGGTCAGGGAGCAAACATCTGCAGGAGGCATTTTTGATATTTGATCTCCTCTTAAAAAAAAAAAAAGAAAAGATGCGGTTTACCCTGAATTTTAAAAATTCAACACACTGAGGTTATCTTCTTTTAAGTTTGTTTATTTATTTACTTTGAGAGAAAGAGAGAGAGAGAATGACCTGGGAGGGGCAGGAAGGGAGGGAGGGAGGGAGATGAGAGAGAGAGAGAGAGAGAGAGAGAGAATCTCAAGCAGGCTCCAAAATGCCAGCATGAGACCTGATGAGGGGCTCGAACTCACAAACTGAAAGATCATGCCCTGAGCTGAAATCTAGAGTCTGACACTTAACTGACTGAACCACTCATGAGCCCCCACATTGAGGTTATCTTTCCCAAGCCATTCCCTTAGAATTACTTTCACATCTTCTGTAAATCCTTCCATGACAGAACCCAGGAAACTTATTTACAATAAAAATCAGTGGCAATTAAGTGGAGGGGACATTAGGAGAACTTCTTTTGGATCAAAGAACCTTTTGAGAATCTGATTAAAAATATGGACTCTCTCCAGAAAATGCACACTGTACATGTACTTGTCAGATTTCCTTGAAGTTTCCAACTTTATAAGATATTGGGGACACAGAAGTATTTTCCAACATAGATATTATTTAAGAGAAAGAGTTTTGAACACGACATTTCAGGAGATGCCTCTTCTACATAATTTGAACATAAACTAAGCTCTGGCTGTCTCAAACTGCAATTATGAGTTAAGAAAGAAAGAGACTTTATACCAATGAAGTTAACATGTAGAGACTTTACATTCTGGAAATGTGTTATGTGTTATGAAACACTTTTCCTACAGTCTGTTTTCTTGGTTAAAAGATAAATAGTCTTTAGTATCTCTTAGTAGAAAAAGAGAGAACTGTGAATTGTTTGCACTGGCAAAATTGTTCCATTTCATTTTATAGCATTTCCAATGAAGTGAATTTCATCTCTGAGATATAGGACGTTTGTAAAGCAACCACTTGTGGTTTTTTGGCAGTCAAGATAGATGCACTTTGGTAATTGTGATTTTTCAGAAAATAAGAGTCTTAAGCAGCTCTTACCTCATCAGAACCAGATCCAAAAATCAGCAAGTCAAAAGGAATTGCTGCCACCATGTCGATCAGGAACCAGCCTTTGAAGTAATGTATTGCTATTTTGGCCGGGTCACTTACCACTTCTTCATTCTGATTTACATATGTGGTTCTGAAGTTTATTAGAATATCTATGATGAACATAATATCCACAATCAAGTCCACCACATTCAAAGGGCTACAAGAGTAGCCGCATTCTCGTCTTTTCTGTTCTTCTCTGTCATTGAGGAGAAAGGCTGCAGAGTAGGGCGTGAATATAGCAGTATATATGACCAACAGCAGAATAAGCCAGTCCCAGACTGCCTTGAAGGGGCTGTAGTGCAGTATTGTAAACTTGTTGATACGTGGTGTCTGGAGTTTATATTCTGGCAGGACATCTGCTCCTAAAGAGAGAACCTGAACACAGAAGAGAACATTACACAGTATATAAAAATGTCATTATGTAACCTCTTAACCTATAAAAATATGAAGGTAATTATACGTCAAAATCGATTAGGAAGAATGCATGTAATTGTGAAGTGTGTAAGTAAGAAAAACACGTACATTGAAACGAACCCAAATACCGCCCCCCCCACTATGTGGCATATTTGACCCCAGAAAACTCCATTGGTAATTCTTGCTAAACATGATTTGCACTGAAAAGTAATGGATATTGTCACTCTGATAGCAAGGAATGGTTACGGGTTCCTTTGAAACATACTACTACTCAGAAATAAAAACACATACCCGTTTTTAGAAAATCATAAAATCAGACTGATACACAAGTAATTCAGTTTTCAAGCCTTAGAAAGGATTGTCTGTAATGAATAGAAACAGCCTACTTGGATCCAGATTCATATTTAATTTACATATATTTAATTTATAATTAAACCCTGATAAATTAAACTCAACTCACTGAAATCTTTAATTACAATTTTTCCACCTGCAATCTGTTTTTAACCTTGGGGGGGGGGCGGTGAGGAAAACACAAAAGATTAAAATAAACACAAAGGAGTCTTTTTCCTAAAAGGTTGAGAGAATATTTTATAACCTGGGAGAAATGTACTTTCACCCAAACTCCTCCATCACATGTAGAGAATCACGAAAAGACAATGGTGCAAAGAGATGTTCAGAATATCGATCTGGAAATGTTGCAAGATTATTATCACCAAGGGGTACGTAAACCCTGAGATTTGTTCTACATAACAAGACACTGGGTAAAATAAAATAGCTCATCTTTTAGAGTCTTGATTGATCTGAAAAAATGAGTGCTCAATTTGAATCATAACCCAGTAGAAAATTTCATGAGTTGGTAATTTTTTTAACTTTTTAAATGTTTTATTTTTGAGAGAGAGAGAGGGATAGAGTGTGAGTGGGGGAGGGGCAGAGAGAGAGAGAGAGAGAGAGAGAAAGAGAGAGACAGACAGAATCCAAAGCAGGCTCCAGGCTCTGAGCTGTCAGCATAGAGCCTGATATGGGGCTTAAACTCACAGACTGCAAGATCATGACCTGAGCTGAAGTCAGACACTTAACCAATGGAGTTACCCAGGTGCCCCCATGAGTTGGTAATTTTAGACTAAGTTTCAAGAACAAAGCTCAAAACAAAAAGGTTACCTAGCTACCTAGAAAATGTAATTAGTCTAAATATATGGGTTTACAAAAAATAAAAAAAATTTGATGACTCCATAAATGGCACATAAAGACATGTTTTAAGGGAGCAGTGAGTTATAATCTTGTATTATGAATATTCCACCTATACACAATGGCCCTATTTCAGAGTTAATTTCACTAAATAAATTTTCTTAGGCTAGATTCTTGTAAATACAGCTAATATATGCTCATCTTTGCAGTATGAACCTCAGGCAATCTCCTATTGGTTAGAGAGTATTATTTTTGCGTTCTTGATAATTCTATCCCTGTAGGTTTTAACTTGACTATAACAATATCTTAGGCAAATTTCATTCTTAAATCTTATTTTCATTGTCACATCCCACACCTTTTTTCTCCACATATAATGAGTTACCATTCTTATTAAAAAAAAAAAAAAACTTGAGAAGTATAGTAACAACCACAAGTGAGGTACAACATGATTTTTAAGTATACCAGAAGAGTTCAGTTAAAATAGGCAAAGATGTTTGAAGATAAGAGCTAAACTGATTTAATTCAGTTTAAAAAAATAAATAATAATAATAATAACAAATCAATACTAATAATGAACTTAACCATTTTTTCAGTCCAGAGTAAATCTGAACAGGAAATAGGGCTTTATTTTAAGCTATTATGAGAAAGGACAGGAATTAATTATTGGTAAAAAAAAGAAATCTAGGAAAAAAGTGATTTCATTGTTTCTGGAAGACTAAAAATCTTCAGAGTCCAAGATTTCAATCTCGATCTCTAACTCTAAAGAGGAATATGTTTGGAAAATCTGTCAGTTGATGAGTGCAAACTGATAGGACTCTAATCCTGTAACGGTCAGTACAGAAAACAAGCCTATAACATTTTGGTCCAGAAAGAATGGATCAGCTCTTAAGATGTCATTATATAATGTCCTTTTCTAAAAACAAAACAAAACAAAGCAAAACAAAAAAAGCAGGGAAGATTCGGAGCATAAGAAGTAAAACCCAAACCCTTATTTTGCCTCTCAAAGTCATCTAAAACATGGACCTATTATATCTTTCCAGTTCCCTCTCTCAGTAGATTCTTTTATGCACTCTGACAAGTCTTGGCTAAAATTTTTGAACTGTGGAGATCTTACCAAATCCCTAAATTCACAAATATCTCTCATTAAAAAAGGGTATATAGTTATTCAAAGAGAATGCCCAAAAAGTCATTTTTAAAGAAAGGGATATTTGTCTAAGTTTGTTTCCTGCTTAAGTGACATGCCCCTGATACCAACCTCCCACAGAGGGCAGTTTGAATACTTGTTTTAGCAGAGGTCTAAGTTAGAATGCATTCAGCACAATGGAGCATCCCTTGAGAAGTGAAAACTGTGGATGGAGCCCTTTCCATCCCACACATGCAAGCATTCTTTTAACAGTTAGATAACCACTGTGCTAAGAGCTGGAGACTGAAACCTTGGGAAGATACTGTCCTAGACACTGCAGAGTTTACGGTCCACTGGGAGAAAAAGACATGCAGGAAAATGGGAGCCCTGCTGAGGTCCACTTGGTTCATTTCTGGGGTTGGTGGTGGTGCTGATGAAAGGGGCCTCTAAAGAGGACTTTGAGGGAAGGATGTCACTTGAACTAAGACTTCAAGTGGGAAGAAGAAAAGAATGCAGCTGGGGAAGGAGGATACTGGCAAGGGAAGAATAGTACAGGTAGAGGAAACAGAATGAACAAAGGTAGGGAAGCATGGAATAATCTGTTGTGTGTTGAGGAATTACAAGCTGCCTTATGCTGCTGATGGATAAAAGGCAAGGGAAGCTGTGGTGGGGATGGCAGTGCCAAGAGACAGTGACAGGCTGTGGAAGAGCTAATGTGATAGGGATATCTAGCTTTCTCCTATAGGTCAGTTTCTCACACGTGAATAAAGTAGACTCCTTTTAAGGGAAAGATACTTATTACAGGATCTCAATGGTAACGGCTATTATTTTTATTTATAGTGTGAAGGAAATACATGCAAAAGTAAAATGAAGTTAAAACTCCTTATGTTTATATCTCTTAATATGACTGTTGTGGGTTGAACTGTGAATCCCAGAAAGGTATGTTGAAGTCCTAACCTCCAGTACCTGTGAATATGACCTTAGTTGAAAAGAGGGTCCTTGTAGATGTAATCAAGGGAAGATGAAGTCGTCTTGGATTGGGGTGGGCCTTGATGCGATAACTGTTATCCTTATAAAAAGAGGGAAATTTTGGGGCAGAGACACAAAGAAACAGAGGGATGATGCCATGTGACAATGGGGGAAGATATAGCTGCAAGCCAAGAAACACAAGGAATGGTGGTAGCCACTAGGACCTGGAAGAAAAGCCTGGAACATATTCTCTCCCAGAGCCTCCAGGAGGAACCAACCTTGTCAACATCTTGATTTTGAACTTCGAGCCCCCAGAATTGTGAGACATTAACTTCTGTTGTTTTAAGAAATCCATTTTATTTTGCTATGGCAGCCCTAGAATACTAATATAATGACAAAAAATGACAATAGATGAATTACAAAATATTTGCAAGGCAATGAATTCAAACTATCATCACTAATTGAGTATTTGACACATCTGTAAGTCAAAAACTGTTGACTTTTGGCTACTGTGTGGAGTTTGATCTAATGGGCTAAATATTTTTCTCTATTCTTAACCTCAATGCCTTTATATCAGGTATGTTGTCAAAATACTTCAAAGATTGGAGTCCTAGGTGGCTCAGTCAAGTGTCCAATGCTTGATTTCGGCTCAGGTCATAATCTCATGGTTGTGAGATTGAGCCCCACGTTGTGCTCCACATGACAGCAAAAGGCCTGTTTGGGATTCTCTTTCTCTCTCTCTGTGTATCTCTCTCTCTCTCTCTGCTCTTCCCCGCCTCTCAAAATAAATAAATAAATAAACAAAATAACACTTCAAAGTTTTTACTGTTATTTTAGGGTAATCTGATCTAACTCTTAATTCAAATTTTTCTCCTCCTGGGCTTCATATTCTGGTTTCTCTTCAAATCGTATAAATCTTTTGCCTTTTTCTCCTACTGGGCTTCAAAAGCCCATTTAAATCATGTTCCTTCATACTGTATAAAAGTCTTTGTTTACTTGAAGTTCAGTTTTGCTTTGGGGCATTATTAAATTTAAAATTTAGTGATTATCTACTCAAATGATTTTTGGAACTGGCTTCAAAAAGTTAATCCATTTGTTATATTTCAATATACCTATTGATAGCTAACCATTGAAATTTGTTAAATATAGCAATGGAATGTGTTTTGACAATGCATTTGCAGTAATTGGTATGGTACCAAATTATATGGTACAAGTTCTTTTGATTTCTGCATGGGTATGCCTGTGTTATATAATCATTCAATTCTCTCATGAATTCTACTAGCCAATCACTTCAAAACTTTTATTTATAGAGCATATTTTAGCACCATGAGGTCTCATTATAAATCCAAATGTGGTCATAGGCACTGAAGTCAGGTAGCACTCTGTTATTAAGTGATTATCTTACTGAGTCAGATTATTTTGTCGTTTTGAGCTTTCACCAACATACACAAATTTTTAAGATTTTCTGGAGGAACTTATGGCTGTTTGAGAATATTCTTTTCTGTGAATATTGGTTTAAGAATTGTTAAAGGTTACCATACAGAGAAGGCAAGGTGACCAAATTTAGTTTTAGATAAATGCATCTGGCAATGGAAAGCGGGAGAAACCAGAGGGGGCAGGATTAGAGGCTTGGAGATAAATTAGGACTTTGGTATGGAAGAAAGATAAATGCAGAGAGATCAGG